TTCCGCACAATTTACCCTTTTCTCTGCATAATATGGGTAAAAAAATTCTTCATTATTTTAAATGTTTTTCGCACAAAATTCTGACATGCCTGATATAAGGAGAGGTATACTGTTTAATGTTATTCCTGTGCTTTTGAATATCATCATAATTGCATGGTTCTTGGCTCGTTGATAACCTCAGACAAATAGACTAGGAGTAACATTGTGGTAAAATAGTGCAGCAATGGTTGCAAGGAAAGGTGTACGAAAAACATCTTAACAGCAAGATTAAGTACATTTGTAAAACTGAAATACATTGCAAAAGATGTGGACGCAATATTATTCACATCCCTAAAAGCTGTTGGTTGCATATCAAAGTCTATCTGGATGACAGACAAACATAGACAAACATTCATGTTGCTTGGTCTGTATTGCATAACCATTACAAACCAYATACTGATTACAAGGCAGGACACCAGATAAAAACTCACAATTCTTTCAATAAGATTCCCTGCTAGCAGAGGCTTACACGGTAAATTCTGTACTTTTACGTGACAGAATTTACCRTGTAAGCCTCTGCTAGCAGGGAATCAATAAGATAAAAACTCAAGGKAATCTTGTTTCSTACCTTCTTGGTTTTCCCATTAACCTTCTGACTTCTCTCCACTCAACTCTTCTCATTTTTTTCACCTGTGGAATTTATTATGATATATAATTAATAATTAATTATAGTCAAAACAAAAATAACAAAAATTATGCCTTACTAACCTTTAGATTTGGAAAAGATTCCTTCAGACAAATGCAGAAATCATTGTCACCCTCAAAAAGAACTCTGCATTGAAAACAACAAACAAATCACTTTGCACTGTTAACCAAAACTCATCTTACAATTTTGAATATATTAAACAACATGACAATGTGTAGATAAACAACATGACAATGTGTAGATAAACAACATGACAATGTGTAGATAAACAACATGACAATGTGTAGATAAACAACATGACAATGTGTAGATAAACAACATGACA